ATATATATATATATATATATATATATATTCAAGTATTGGAATTTGAGACTTTGTATGATTGAATTCAGAAATGCAAAAAGAGCAGATAGTGACTGAAATAGAAAGTATTCTCGCATCAAACAATTTAAAGTATTGAAAAAAACCAGTTTTCAAGTGTCATCGATTCTAGAAAAAATTGAACATCTCAGTTCCGTTATTTGCTCTCTTGCAGTGATCTAATTTTTTTCGTCATTTTGAAGGTTTTTAACTTGCTACACACCAAAATCTTATTTCATTCATTATTTTAATTAACAAATTAACATTTAAACTTTATTTTCAATCTTACTTTGTTTCTTGTATTTGAATTTACTTTAATGAAAGTTTTGACTGCTCGTTTAGGTAAAATAGCATTATTAATCGCTATAAAATAATGTAAATGATAATTATGCAAAAAATTTGTGAGTACTATAATATGGAACAAAATAACGTTCTATTATTATTGTTAATAATGTTAGTAATTTCTGTGGTTATACTATACTCTCTCATGAATATATACATACATTTATTTCTGATACCTCAAATTATAGCACAGATTACTATCATCAATTGACCAATATTTCTTAGTTCTATAAGTAAGTTCGATTACAAGCTACGATTATTTTTGAACTTCCCTGCCTTCATTCAATATAATTTTTAGCTTACTTCAAGGACGCAGAAGTCGATCGTATTCTAATCTTCAGGAAGTATACGGTGGACAATGGCAACTCCTCCAGTCCCACCTCCTCCACCCCCTTTACAGTCTACCGTATGTTCTGATATTTATTATCACTATCATAATTAATCCAACTTATTTTGAATAATATAAAAAAAACTGGAAAGATAAATTGGCGCAATGCCTTTGTAGTAATGTCAAGTATCAGAATTTTGATTGATTAATAATTGATCCTGGAACCTTGATACCGCACCATAACAAGGCTTATGTGATTAAAATATTTACTTATCACATACAACTTTTCCAGTCGCCGTTTTTATCATCTGGCTGGAGGTCACCAACCAATAGTAACCGACAAGCACGTTCTACCGTATCTAGTCAGTTAATAATTAATTTTTTAAGAATTTTATGTTGTATCCCTGCTGTGGAATGGCTCTGGTTTGTATAATGTAATTAAGAGTAATATGCAGTATAATACTTCTGTAAATTAATTTCTGCATTTAAATTTATCATTCAAAGAATAACTTTTATCCATAGCATTGCTGATTTGAATGAAAAATACCCGTGCTATTTCACAGAGAAGATTTTGAAAAAAATTTTTATAAAGCAGAAAATTGCTCATGGATATAATATTGCAAAATTCAGTGATGTGAATTGTTAACTCTAAGAAAGATGATCTGCAATCGCCACAAGTGATCATTATTCTAAAATTATTGACATTAGAGCTATTTTACAGTGTTTGAAATATGTTTTGGAAATATGTGTTATAATCACTGTATAATAGCTGCGAAATCTTTAAATGACCTGTATATTGAATATTTTATAAATTTATTTTATTATTTGTTTAGCGACGCTCAAGTCCTCTGCTCCCTGGTTGGACGCTAAGACATTACAGGTAATAACTATAAATTGCTCTTTATTTGACTTCTATTTCATTCAGTTGTCAATTACTTTGTAAAATTCAAGTTCTATGCTTTAATGTCATATGACAGTTGGTAAAATACATTATTGACTGTTATATGATCAAAAAAGGATTTTTTTTTCGGAATAAATTTGAAGTAAATAAGTAAATAAGTTAGTGAAGTAATATGAAGTAAATTTTGAATAATTTAAGCACGCTGCCGCTGGTTTACGCAAGACCGAGCACAATCGACCGCTACAGTGTAACTTCGAGAATTTATCCGATGGACGAGTGGACGGATCGGATCAACAACTGTTTAGACATCATAGGCAGAACGACTCGTTCCATGCACCGGTGGAAACAAATCAAGCCCGAACATCGGTAAAGCTTTTTGCATAGCTCTCATATTCAAAATCACTAGTCTTCTGTATTAAACTTCATAGTATATTTCACGGAATACAAATTTTAACTTTCAAAAATTGAGAATTTAGATCAATTTTCTTTACAGTTACTGTAAGGAAATTATGATTTTTACTTTGAAACGAAGTGTATTAGTAAATAAAGTTATATTTTCCTTTTAAAAAAAAAAGTGGCACGCAGAGAAGTAAAATTTGCCACCACTTTAAGAAATACCGTAGAAACGAACTGAATTTTTTATTTTTCACTTTTGTTAAAAAAATTATCATATTATTTTACAGTTTATAGCATAATCAATTTTTTATTGCAACATTTTTTCAGTTATTTCATACAAGCGTATTTTTTTAGTTTTATGCTTCGCCCCTTAGTTCCTATAAATCTTTGCCGGTCAGCAACGGTCATCAATACACCGATACGGTAAATTTTTATTCACTGTGTTTTTGAAATTAAATTCAGCAAAGTTTTTTACTAAAACTTTGTTTTTTAGCTAATATTTTTCTGTGAATTTTGAAATTGTTATTAAAAAGTGATTTTATTAATAGTTTAATTTGAAAAGTTACTTGTCTATTTCACAGATAAATTATACCTTTTGATCGAATAAATTATAATGATTCTAGCAGAAGTGAAGATATTATTAGAAACAAAAAATTTTTTTGTTTACAAATTACATGAAAGAATTGTATTAATAAAAAAATGATTAAATATGCACATATGGAAAGCAAACTTTCCTCTTGACAATGATAAAGAATGAATCAGTTTAGCTTAGTAAAAAAAACTTTGCTTAAATTTATAATGTTAAATTTAAATTTCGGGAAGTTTCATAGATTAAAAGAGAAGCAAAACAAATTGTAATATAGTAAAACAATTTCAGAAAGTTTGCGTTGTAGAAGCATATTCATTTATTCGTGCAAAATAACTTTTCTTCAGTGAAAAAGTCAAAATAGTCTAGAAAAAGTAGTAAGCATGTGTTGTTTAGTTGATTTTACTTCTACTTCAATTCATTTCTTCTTCATCTTTAGAATATTTTCAATTCCACTTCACATAACTTTCATTTAAATTCAATTTAAATTATTTGATGATTTCAAATACAATTTTTCTTTATAGAAATTGCAAAGTAATCAAAATTTTCTTGTATATTTATATCAAAGTTATCATGCAAAATTTCATGAATGAATAGATTAGTTTGGTGCATTCCAAGTATACAATATCGACAATTTTTTGTGATATATATATATTGAAGCAATTTTTTTACAACCTCTATATTATGCATAGTCTTACTCACTAGATTTTTTTAATAATTAATTTTGATGCTTCAATTTCCAGTAGAAAAAGTTTTTTAATTTAATATTTATTTTATGAAAAGAGTATGAAGTAGTGATTTTTGCTTGATTAGAAATGATTTTCGAGAAAATTTGTAAATATTCAATTTTATGAATCAGTAGCAGTTTAATGCACTTTAAAAATGATTACTGCTTCAATTATTTAATTGTTATGCATCATTGATGTCGTAATAAAATCTTGAGAAATTGAATAAAATCAACTTTTGCTTGTTAAATTGCAATTTTACGTAATTACACTTCGTTCACAATTTAGTGAATACGCATTATTTATATTATCCTTTCTTTTAATTTACTTAAGTTTTGATCTGCTATTCTGTGCTGATTATGGGGACGATTAACGGGTTGTATTTGAAGTAATGAATTATAAAAAACATATTATGAAAATAAATCAAAAATTCAAACATTTTTATGCAATGAAATTATTATTTTCAGCTAACTAAATCAAAATATACTGAACGGCCATCATTTTCTCCACAAAATATTATGTCAACTTCTTATTCTTCTAGCTCTAAACAATATTCATCAACTCAAAATGAAAGGTATAATTCAAAAACCTTGCAAATTTATCACTAAAAATATAATAATTATTAACTGCAAAAGTGAATTTTAGCAGCAACAATTATGTGATACCCAAAGATTCACCATATATCAAAGATCCAAAGTCATATATTCGAGCATACGCAACGCAAACACCCACATATACAGTCATGGATTCAAATTCCAATGTTCACCAGAATATTCTCAGCAATCGTTTTAATGTCGACAAACGTATGTCGGACATTAATGCTAATAAGGCTCACACGTTTGTCAAGGATCTACGTGATCAAAGTACTCAACAATTCTTTGAAATTCGCTTAAATGAATTTATTTTTATTTACATTTAATTAATTTTATTAATTTATTCATTAACTTACTCATGAACAAATATTTATGTTAATCAAAACTTTCCGAAATTTGCAAAGTTAGATTTAAATTAGTAAAAATTGCATAACTTTCACACATTACATCACCAATTTTTTTTCAGTAGTATGACTTGAAACAGTTATTTTTCCTTAATGTTTTCTAAAACGTTCTGAATGTTCCATTATATTTAAGATTAAATTACAATTTAAACTAAGTTAAAATTTCGCAATATTTTTTGTAGACTTCAATTATTGTTAAAGTAATAAGAAAAACGTTAATTGTTACTGATTAAACACCAGCCAACATAAGTTTCTGAAAATATCTATTGAAATTTTTTATATTAATAAGATAATGTGTTTACGATAAAATAAATATCTGTAAACTAACATAACATAGATAGCATATTAAATTTTAGGTTTAACTCAGACGCAACGAGTCGCAAATCAGTTTCAGCAATCTTTATTGCGTGATGTACCACCACCTCAAAGTATGGAAAGCCTTTATGAAGTTAGTGACATAAAACTCAGTTATAATCTAATTTTAAAAAATGCATATTTTTTAGATAAAAATATAGGCTTACTGATCACGCAAAAAATCTTATACAATTTTCATTTGCGCATGCAAAAGTTTTAAAACTTTTTAGCAAAAGAAGAACTTAGGTAGCGATCAAATTGATGCACTAATACGTGACATGGAATGGAAAATGAAAACTGGCGTAGGTGCCGCTGGAGAATGTAAGTTTTTATTTGCAATTGTTCATTCCCTTTTTTATTTTTTTTAAAGATTTCTAAAAAATTGGCCATTCAATCTATTCTAAGTTATATTTTCAAAACCATCAAAGTGATTAAAATGTTATGATTATTCATTGTTCCATTACACGCAAAAAAGTAAGCTTGCCTGCATGTGAAACTTATTCTGATCTAACTTATTATACTTAAAATAAAAGTTAACTTCAAAGAAAACAAATAAAATATTGTAATGAAAATCAAAATCAGTTGGCATTTGAATAAAAAGCATAAATATAACTAAGTTATTTATTCTGAAAATTGAATCTGCTCAAAATTTGGCATAAAAAATTATCACAAACTCTTTTCTTAATATATTATTTTTTCAAGAAATCTTAGTTGACTTTTGGCTTTTAAAAATTTACTTTTTATGATTAATCGTTCACTCAATGTAAAGTATTTCTTCCTCAACTGTTTTTATGATTCCCAAAGGCTTGTTTGGAGTGCTCGCTGTAACGTTAAGCACTTATTTTTACTGTTAAAATATAGAAGACAAATATTGTGAGTATTTTAGAAATCCCAGCAGAGTCCAATTATTTTGACCGCTTGTGAAAAAACCATTTTTTAAGCTATTAAAGTATCTTGCAAGGAAAGCTTTGTGATTAAAATTTCTGAAAGCAAAATAGTGTCAAAATGATAATTATAAGAGTTTCACTGTTATTTCTCATCTCCTGCATATTATTAATATGTTACAATAACTTATATCCTTATTTGTGTTTAGAAAATTATTTTTACATTTAGGTTGACAAATAATTATTCCCTCTTTTTTATAATTGTGTCATTTTAGCTGACAAAATATTATATAACTGCCTGTTAAACATTCATAAGATATATAATATGTTATTTTCGTCTCAACAGATATTATAAAATAAGTATTCTCTTGAAGTGAAGTAAATTGTTGATTTACGTTACGGATTGGCTTGTTCTCGTTACGACTTTTCTATTTATATTACTAATAACATTATTTATTTATTTATCTATTTATTTATTTATTTTTTTATTCATTTATTTACTTATGCGCATATTATGCTGCATAAAATTAGTTCGTGCATCTATATTCATTTTATATTCGAGTCAATGAAAAATACAAATATATACACTCTTTCTATTTAAATTGCTTCATTTATTTGATATTAGCTTGCATTTAAATGAATTTAAATAAGCTAAATACATTTACGTATTTTTCTGCTTTAAGTTGCTTTATATTGCACACATAAATGAGAATTTTTGCATTTTAAAATATGCTCATTACTGTGCCCAAAGAATAATGAACAAGCTAATCACAAGCGTGCATCAATATATGCTCGGATATTTTTGATTCAAATATTGCTCGTCCATATGTTTTTAAAGCAAAATAATTAATATATTGTGTTAAGTTTGGATAAAATAAAAAATAAATGCAAAGATTAAATTTTTTTATTCGCATAGTAATAATGCAAAAAATAAACTGATCTTTTATGATTGAAAGAAAATGATAATTTAAATGCTAACTTATTTATTTATTGTACTTGCTCAGATTATATTTAAGCAAGAAAATTTGCAATGACCTTTAAACTTGTAAAACTATTTGAGTAAACAAAAGTAAAAGTAATAAAGTTAAAACTAAATGAAGAATAAAAATTTTACAAAAAAAGTCTAAAAATAATAACAAAAATGTAGAAAAATAAAGATTAAATTATTAAATCATTGCGTAGTTAGTTAGTACAGATAAGTAAGTAAGTGTAAGGAGAGAGTACTAACTAATATTATATAGCAGCTGTTTCATTTGAAAAATTGAGAATATTTTAAGAAGTAATAATGAGAAGGGGAAAAGAAGTGCAAAAAATTATATAATAAAAGTTTAAGAAGAGTGAACGCGAAGAAATGAGAATACATTTGAAAGCACAACAACAACTAGTAACGAGTAGTAGCAGAAGCAAAAAGGGAACTGGCGAACTAGCCTTGCTTGTCTTGTCTTGACTTGTCTTGTCTTGACTTGTCTTGTCTTGTCTTGTCTTGTCTTGTCTTGTGTACTGCTTTAGTGATTACTTGTTGTGCTTTTTGATCGAGAAAGTTAGTAAAGTTTCTCAATAAACTTTTCCTTTAAGTACTTGAGCTGTAAATTTCATTTCTTACTTTAATCACAACAACAAAATTTGTTGAAGATTTGAATAGCTAGTAAAGAAGATATTTGCAACTGTTATTATAATCATTATTATTATTAATATCACTATTATTATTATTATTATTATTATTATTATTATTATCATTAATTATTAATTATTGTTATCAATAATAATAGCAGTTACTTTTTTCAAGATTTTTTTCCTCCTATTTAAAGCACCATTGATTTGTTGCTTTTGTGAAAGTAAGCAAAGTAACTACTACAACAATATGTCCGAAGAGCAACAACAAAACTCGCCAGAATCGGCTGGTTGGTTAATTTAATTTACAATTTATTTTATTGTTATTGTTACTGTTATTATGACTATTATTATCTATTATCATTATTATTATCAATCATTAATATTATTGATTATTTTTATTATTGCCTACAGTATTATTGTTATTACCACAATTCTTACCCTCAGTACTGCAAATGTAAACAATAAAATTCAATGATTTTCATGACTGGAAGGCACGAAAACATTAATTTAAAGATATTAAAAAGCAATTATTTCTTTTATTGTTGAAAATAAAGACTTTATTTTTGCCAAAATAAAAATTATTATTGTTATTAATATTAATATCATTAGGAAATTCGTAAGATTTTATTTCCATTTTACTGTTACTTTCATATTATGACTTTAGTTCATATTACTGACTTCAAATTGTTGCAACAACACATTATTTTTCAGCTTATCTGAATGATAAGTGCATAGATAAGATTGAATTGAAGATAAATAAACTGATCTAAAATCATTTATATTTACATAAAAATGCATTGAATTTTTGAGTGACTGCACTGGAAAGTAATACTCCTTCCTTAAATATAGAAAGGAAAGTTATATTGCTTCAGAAATCACTTTTCTTTTTTTATGTTTACTAGTACTGATTATAATGATGAATTTCCCTCACAGCTCATTCAAATTTTTTGTGTACAATACAATTTTATTTTGTATAACTTCAAATTTTTGCATTTAACATACATACTTCGCAAAATATTTAAAAAAAAATAGCATATAGTTTCAAAGTACATAATGAAAGGCATTACAAAACAGACTTGTATTTGCTAGACGTATTTTAAACACTAATTTTTTACAGATACATAATTGTAAATTGCTTAAGCAAACTGTGATAATTTCGTTCACGAGAGCAATTTTTGATATTTTTCAAGTGTAATTTTTCATGCATGTTCAAATATATTTGTTAAACTAATCAGCAGAATAATCTATCCGATATATTAAGAATTGATGCAAAATTTTCAAAGTGTTCTCAATTTCGTTTAAAATTTAAAATTTTTATAAATAGACTTAAAACACTGTGCAATCATTTGCTTAAGATGTATTTTCATGTTTGTTGTTGCTTAGGAAAGAAGTCTACAACGATTTTAAATTGGAGTAGTTTTTATTCCAAAAATAGTTCAAATGTTAGTCTGTCAACAATTTTAAATTCAAGCAAAAATATGTTTGGTTATTTGCTTAATTGCTGACAAATACAAAATTATAATTATGCATTTAACATTAGAAAAAATCAAACTTTTTAACGCTTGCACTAAAAGTTTCAAATATTAGCGATAAATGGCAAGATAAAACTTCTGCCCTTAAACTTACAATATTTATCATTTTTGCATATTTAAGCATTTTTGCTCAATTAAAATTTTTTTGCAGTTTGCCAACAATTTTTTTATACTTTTTTGTCTTCAATTTTTTAATTTTTGAATACAAAAAGTGGTTTTTTTCAAAAAAAATTTATGATCTCTGTTATTAGACACAGGTGAATCTGAAAACAAAAACGTTTTCTTGCAGTTATTTTTCAATTACACTAATTATTATTTTTTGCACCATTTAAAAAGATTAAAAACCCAAAGAAGTTTATTACCAAAGATACGATAATCAGTCCTTCTAAACTGCTCAGTTCTATACACAATGTAATAATGCTAATATCATTTAAACATGAAGTCAGTTTAATGAATTCATCTTAATTGAAAAAATAATAATAGAAAGCGACTATTAAATGAATGAAAAAGTGTCATTAGCAATAGCACAAAATTATTAATCACTTTCCGCTTGCTTTTTTTATTTCGACAGATATCAGTTACGCCTGATGTAATTCATCTTTAGATCAAGTCAATCAATCATGAGCTAAATGTTTATTTTCATTTTGTTTTTTTTTTTCAATCTTCTTTTTCTTAAGTCTATTATCCGCATATATTCGATCTGACATTTATTAAAAATGAAAGACAAAATGAACTGATATTTTTTATTCACCAGAAAATTTATACTTTAAATATCACAAATATTTTTAATTTTATTTGAATTATTAATATTTTTGTAACGGTATAGAAATGATTAGCTGCTTTTATCATTTAATGAGGATTATCTTGAACTCTACTTTTTTTATACAAATGTTATCTAATTGTTTAAAATATTACTTTTTGTGAAGCTGAATAAATATCATAGTAATTCATTTGCAATCAAAGCATATTGTCACTATTTGAAAAATCTTTATCGTCTTAACTCTTTATTAATTAACTTATTTTTTTATATTGGAATATTATATCACTTAGCAACAAGCCCTTCAATGATGTTTTTTTAAGAATATTTGTGATTATGCATTAGATTTTCTTGCAGTGATTATTGCAAAAGAATTTGTGATAAAAACTATTATACAATGTTCAATATCAAGATTTTAGATAGCAAATATTTTTAAAACTTTCTCGATCAAGATATTATTTCAAGTAATTTAGATAAATGAAGTTCAACTCTTTGTAAGCATAATTTTCTTCATAATTATCAAATGTTTCTCTTGCATAGTTATCATGATAACTGCAGATATTATGAATAATTTATTATAATATCTGTGTTGACTAATATTTTAATAAATTTTTAATTTTTTTAAAATTGTTCTTTATCCTTATGTTTTCAGAAATTATATTTAGATATTTTTTATGTCTTTTTCATTTCATTTTCAGTTTATTTTTTCATCTGCTGAAAATAAATAGCACAATTTCTGATAGCATTTGAATAAAATAATTTTGTTTCTAATTTAAAATTGAAATTAGTACGAAAAGTGCGAAAAAATTTTCCAATAAAAATTTGTTGTTGAGAAGTTGCAGCAGTCACATATAAAATTTAAAAACTTTAGTAAATTTAAAACTTTAGTAAATTTTATGCACTCAACTTTTAAATCAGTTATTTTAAAAATTTGTTAAACATCACTGATTTGAAATAGATGAAGCCTGATGCTTGCTTTGATTACTTGAAAAAATTATAAATAACCCCGACATTTAAACTATAAATAATTATTTACCAGTGATTTGATAAATAATTATTTATAGTTTAACTTTTTTTTATCAGTTTATATCGTATGTACAATAAGCAGTAAAATAGTTATAATATTATTACCAATGATTTAAAATTAATATTTGCTATTTTTATTAAATTATCTTCGTATTTCCATACATTTGTAACTCTTTAATTCTTTAGCCAAATCATTCATAATTTAAATTCAAAAAATAAAAAACACTGTTGAAGAACACATAAATGCATATTATCTGTGTGTAATTCTTCAAATTGGCAACTGAAATGGCAATATCAACTGATTTTTTAACATTGAGTGAAAATGCATTAAAGTTGTTAATTTTCACTATCGAATTCATTCTGCAAAAAGTCAAAAGTATGATTGACTAATTTTGCATAATTTTTTTAAACTTAAATTGCTTTTATTTGTAATATTTTTATAATGAAAAATAGATTGATATCTAAAAAAGTGTCAAAATTGCCTGGCAAGTCTTAGTCACCACTTATCTGCCTAACTGAATCATTTCAGTTACTTTGTAGTTTCCAGACAAAATTGCCACGAATCTAAACTTCTGTAAAAGGAAATTTCAAATTTGAAAAGGATAATTGAAAGTAAATTGTTGCAAAAAACATTCAAAGTTTAGGTAAACTTTTACTACTTTTTTTTATTCAGAAAAAAATTTTAGTCTTAAAAAAAATTTAAAAACAAACAAATAATTAAATTAGAATTTTAATTTCTAGAAAAGGTTTTATTAACTTTTGAAAAATAACTTTAAAAAAAAGATAAACAAGTAATAATATCAGTTTTAATTCATTTTGTAATTATTATCTTTTATTAGAATAAAAAATTTTTGCCTTTTTAGTAGCAGTAATATACAGTATTAACTTTAATGCTTTATTGCATATAGTTACGAAAAAATGAATTTCTTCAAAATTTTAATTTGAAATCATCAAATTACTTATCACAGTGATAATTGATGAAAATAACGCAAAAATGTGTATAACACAAGTTAGCAAAAAGCTACAGCAAATTTAATGTAACTAATTTTATTCACTTTTTACTCGCATATTTTAAATTAAAACTGACAGTTACATATTTCTTTTTTATCAAATTAGAATTCCAGGCTCTTTTTTCGACATTTGCATCAAAAAGAGATTCTAAATACACTGTCGTGCTCAGATTGAGCTCAACTTGTATTAACATCAAAGTTAGATTTATTCAAGCAACATATATTCTACTATTTATATATTAAAAATTTTTTGAATAATTTTAAATTTAACCATAAATTGTGATATTGTTATGTATTTTATTACTATTTGCAATTGTTCTGCAAGCATTTAATTATAAACTCACCAAATCTTTTGGATTTATGCTTCAAATTTATGAAAATTTATAGTTATTAAACTCAATTTAAATAAGGCAGTCTAATTTGAACTTTTTTCTCTAGCGGTTTGATTGTAAAATAAAATTTTATTAATAAAATGTTGCATTTTTAACAATTTTTTAAATTGCCACCATAAAATTTCAATAAAAAACAAAGATATGAATTATTACAAATAAAATTGAATTCTTAGTAAGTAATATAAATGGAAGAGCAATACAGTTTGTACTTTAAATTATACAATTCATCATTTCATTTACACATAAAATTAGATTAAGCAAAATTCATAAAGACTACAAACATTTTAAGTTAGAATTTTCGTTTGGCATAGTGAACTTTGATCTACTGATCGCTGAGTCATATGATAATGATAATACAGCAAATAGATATGAAGAAGATTTATTTATATTACCAAAAATGTTATATGTCCGTTGTTTGCATAAATACGTATTTAGTGAGAAATGTGCAATTCGTTTTAAGTATAAAATAAGTATGAATTATTAAAAAGTTTGAAATTGGAAAAAAAATATTTAGTTTGAATATTTCTTAAAAAATTTGACCTTTTTGTGATGTAAAATTATGAAAAATATTAAAAATTACTTTAATAAAATTTAAATTTTAACTATTACAATTATTAATGTTATTGCTAAAATAGTTTGAACATTTAGTTAAATTGATAATTTTTTTTAAAAACTCTGTACAGAAAAGTTGCTTTCATTTTATTTGTAATAAAGGCGTTTTAAAGTTGAAACATATCACAAAAGTAATAATTTACAGTAATAATATTATTATTATTATTATTAACACTTCAGGGGGAATTTCTATTGTAGATATTTAAAATGGAAAATTTTACATTTGTCACTTTTTATTAAATTACTTTACCAGCTAGTTCACCACTCACTTACGTATGCTTTGAGACTTTTCATTCAAATTTGAAATCCATTAAAACGCTTTATTAAAGTTCAAAAAATTAGTAATTTTTAAATTTAATTAAAAGGTAATGAAATTTATGAATTTTAAGAAATTACTGTACTGAGAAAAACTTACTTTTTCTTCTGTAAGTAATATATTTGCTTTCTTATTCATCAATATTGGTTTCTTTTAATTATTCACATTTATTTATTCAGCGGATTTCATATTTTTTAAGACAAAACTTTCTTAACAAATTAAAGAACAAATTATTATGTACTGCAGATTCTGCATTATTTTGTTCAATCATATCACGGACAAATAAATTTTTGATACTAAGCATAATTCATCAATTTTCACTAAATGAAATGAAATTTACTACGTCAGTTATTTCGGTAATGAAGTTTGAATGATATTTTTTCTAATTATGCTATTTTTTTACCAAAACTTGCTTAATATTAATTAATAGTCAGCATTTATTTCATTTGCAGGAATTAAATTTTAATTTTTCAAATACACAACAAATTTTTGCAAAAATGGCCAATTTTTTTTAGATTACAACTTTATATATATAATTACTGAAAATTATCATAATTCGAGTAAGATTCTGGAAAAATAAAATAGTTAATTTTTTGGTCTTTGATGAATTTGAAACTTTTAAAAATCAACTTTTACAAAAGTATTTATATTTTCATTAATGTTATATTCTGTTACCTTTATTTCAGATAATTGCTGCAAATGTGGTGAAAGTATAAGTAATGATCGACCTGGATGTACTGCATTGAATCAAGCGTACCACGTGACATGCTTCACTTGTGTACAATGTAATAAGCAGTTAGCTGGCGGCTCGTTTTATAACGTAGATGGCACACCGCTGTGTAAAGAGGATTATACTGTAAGCCCAAAATTTTTAAATTTCATTAAACTTTTAATATTGATTTTATTAAATATTTCAAATATCACATGTATTTCATTTACATGCTTTTGTTTTGAATAATTATTTTCGATTTAATAATTTTCAGTATTCAAACTTTTAAGATGAATTTTATTCAAAATTGTTTTCATAGTTAAGAACTCTAAATAAAGTTGAATGATTTAATGAGAGTGACATCTGATAAGTCAAATTTTGCAAAGTCAGAAGCTAATTTGCAAATATAAATTCGTAATTTAATGCTATGAAAAAAAAATAAAAGATTCACATTACTTATCGCAAAAATATAGAATTTTATGGCTGATTTTTTATCTATCCTTACAATGTCTTGATTATTTCCAATAAAAATTAAGATTGATTTGCTATCAAAAGGATGAAATGACAATTTAATTGAATTTTTTTTGCAGAAAACGCTAGAACGATGTAGCAGCTGCGGTGAACCCATCACGGATAAGTTATTGCGCGCCTCAGGTGGAGCTTATCATCCAGCTTGCTTTGTGTGTACTGCTTGCAAAAAATGCTTGGATGGAGTTCCGTTCACGGTTGACGCTAGTAATAACGTGCACTGCGTTTCCTGTTTTCACGAGTATGTTATAAATATTTAGTTTTACACGATTTTTGTCAGACAAAAGACTTTTTCAGTGAGGAAAGAAATATAAACTTACAAAACTATAACAGATTACAGATTACTCACATTACTTCTTTTATTTACAAATAACAAATTTTCTACTTAATATTTTAAACAAATACTTAATTTCTTCAATTATAAGTAATAATAGATTGAGTTTTACGAGTATATGTGAGAAGTTTGTTATCTTTTTTTTCGAAACTTTCCGTTTAGTAAATTTAGCTTTTATTGAAATTAAAAAGTGTGAAAATTGTTTTCAAAAAGTGAATTCAAGTAAGTTGATAAAAATTAATTTCTTATAAAACAGTTAAAATCGAATTTTTTGGATTGCAATTTTAATTGTTCTGGAAACCTAATAGTAAGCAATTTATCAGATTTTCGGGAAGAGATATAACTTTCAGTTTTTTCAGAATTTTATCGTTTCGCAGTGAAAATAATGTAACAGCTTGGTAGTATTACTTTCTTGCTTAATCATTTTTGTAAATTAGTGAAAATAATTGAAGGAAGTTTGCTCCTCGTTGTGCAGTTTGCTCGAAACCAATCGTTCCTGAAGAAGGCGAAAAAGAATCAGTTCGAGTTGTTGCAATGGACAAAAGTTTTCATGTCAATTGTTATCGATGTGAGGACTGCAATTTGCAACTAAGTTCTAAAATCGAGGGTCAGGGGTCAGTTGTTTTATAACTCGTAAAATTTTGTTAAATTCCAAGTGATTAACAGTTTGTTTTGAAAATAAGATTTTGAATAATACATTACAAATTGATAAATTTAATGATATGATATCTGTCAAGCAAATAAAAATACATTTTTATTTTGTTAACCAAAAATTAATTGTTTTTTTATTCTAAAATGGATCTTATTTCAGAATATAAAACAGTGCACCCAATTCTTTATTAATTTCAGAAATTCTTTTTTAAAAAAAGATCAGATTTTTAAGGAAGAATGATTTTTTCTTAATTAATTGTAATTTTATTTAAAAAGTTTGATTAATTTGTAACGCAATTTCTGAGTAATTTAATTATAAAATACTATGCAAATGAACAATTTGACTTCAGATGTTATCCACTGGATCAGCATTTATATTGCAAGAATTGTAATGGGAAACGATTGATTGCACTTTCAAAAGCATCATAAACATAAGAAACAATTAAGCAATAATGATTTAATTAATGCTAAAAATAAAAATTTGATTACTATTCAATTAACTGTAAAGTCAGAATGAAAATTAACATCAAATATAAGGACAATACTTTGGGAGTGATCATTTTGCTCGTAAAAAGTACTGTATTCATAATGAAAGCTTTACTTTGAAGTGTTTTTAAAGTGATTTTTCCTTACAAAATATGAAAAAAATACTGATTACCCATTCTTATATACGTACGATGGCTATAACTGCTGCACTTGAATGCATCTATATTGAATATTTGTTATAGTCATTATACTCGCAATTTAGTACTAAAAGTGTTAATTACAGTTTTAATGAGGTATTTGTCATTGTTGCTGCAAACTTAATTTTGAGTTGAATGAAGCATTTATTAGTTTTGCTTTTACATTTTGTACTGCTATCATTTCATGCCATTTAATGAAATTATTACTCTTATTTATGTGTATTATTTGATTTTTGAAAAAGTAATGGCAGCAATAATAAATAATAAATAAAGTGTATAATATTTGATTTATTAAAATTAGACCTCTTCGACAAGATATTATAATTACGGAAATTTAAATGATTTAATTGATTTAACTATTGCTGTACCATTTCTTGATTTGAAATCAATGAAAAAAATGACCGTTCAGTATGTAAAGCATTTATTTGTACTTAGTGTTTCACTACATTTTTATCTTTTTTTAAATGAAAGACTATGGCTATAAACATGTCTATACGTATACACATGAATCATATTTCTTGCTTACTTTGTCTTCGAATGAATTTCTTAGTGCTCACATTGAGTTTACACTTCAGATCAGTGCTAGAAGATAGCCTTTCACTGACTCTTAAATTAGATCAGTTAGCTTAGTCATTATGAGGGAAAACAGACCGTATTAACAGATTAATGTCGGCGAAAAAATGTATAAATCATAAGGTGTAACATCGTTTAAAATCATTCTGACTTATATCTATTTGCTTGCAAAAAATAGATCAAAACGAAAATAAAAGCAGAAAGAAGTAAACATGATGTGAGCTATCTCAATTAATTGCATCTCGTTAGATTTTAGCCCTCATATACATATTACTTCTTCAATTAGCACAAATCACAATCTTGACGCAACTTTAATGGTTGGCTTGATTCATGTATAGGTAATTGAAATTATGCTGTAAGAATTTAAACTTTGAAAACTAAATAATCATAAAGTCAAAATTATAAATTATAATAAATTTTATTTTTTTGCACAAACAAAACGCTTTTCCTGAGCATTTTCATATAAATTCACTTATTACTAAAGTAGCGATAAGTAGTTTAATCAGTGAGTAAAGTTTCTGAAATAAATGTGCTATCAAGTAAAGATCTATGCATTTGCATGAATATCTGAAACTGGAAAAAAAATATTCATTAGTGAAAAGCAACTTTTTCAGCTAACTTTTCATAATTTTTTGAAGTTTTTTTTCTTCTCTCACTTTTAAACGCTTATCATTTAAACAAAGTAAAAGATTTAAAAAAAATAGCTTTCAATACATAAATGACTTATTGTTTGATCAAAATTTTACGGCATTTAAGCTTATTTTCACTTATTTAAAAAAAATTACAGCATTGATTGAAAACATAACAAATAACTTAGCAACAGTACTTCTTCTATCTTTGATTTTTAAACTGTCATACAATTGTAAATAAATACTAAATGATTAAAAACTCTTTAAAAGATTAAACTTTTTGTAAGCTTTATGAAATATTTCATGCAAAAACTTACGCAGCCTTATATGTACCTAATATCATTTTATTACTTTTTAATATTCTTCAGCAGTTCAAATGAAAATTTTTCATTCTTTTTGTTATAAAAGATTTTTATTATATTTTTTATGAATTTTTAATTTGCTTAAGCATAAAGTAAAATAAAAGCATGCCAAACTTTATCATTAATCCTTCAAAATCATATTTTTACTGCTTGTTGTTAGCATTCAAATTATTAAATGACTGCTTAATCAGTTTTTACGAACATTAATTGTATGAATTTACTTCCAATGCTTTTAGGAATTAATGAAAAAGATACTAAATTTCAACCTTTTTTTTTCAAATTACATCAAACATTATAGTTGCATAACTTGCAATTCTTGGATTATTATCTACATTACTTGCAAAAACAAATTATACGGAAACTGTTTAACTGAGTAGTGAATAATTACATAGCACTAATTCATAATATTGGTGCTAAAATAATCAGTTACAGAATGTCGACATTCAGTGGCTGAGTAATTTGTGTTAAAAAAGTTCAGTAGCGAGTAATTTCTTTTTTTTTCTAGATGTTTGGTAGTTATGCATTCTAAAGCTAATCAATAAATAATCAAATAAATTTTAAAAGGTTGTTTTTGACCTAAAAATGATTGACCTTTTGTTTAAACCATCAAGCATAAATAGCTGAATTTAAGTATGCATGCATAAATTTATCATTAATTGTAATCAGATGAAATGGTCAATTCCTTTTTTGCTGAAATTAATTTTCAAAAAAGCAATTTTTGTGCCTGCTATAAGATAATGCATCAGAAACTTTTTCTCAATTACTTTTATTAAACTTTTTTATAGTTTTTACTTTTAAAATATTAGTCAAATTCAAAGCTATTTTGCATTTTAGAATTTTTCACGAGTGCTATGCAAATATAAATTTTATCAGCTTTTGCTCAGCAAAATTGATTTTTAATTTTGTGTAACTTAAAAAGTTGTATTAATTTTGCTAATATATTATAATGGAAACTAAATCTTTATCAAAATTCATTAACAATATAAATCACTCCAAATGGAACGGAAATTGATAATTTAATTAAAGAATTTACAACATATCTCGCCTAATTCAAATTCAGTAATCAAAGATTGCATAATAAAAAGTATGTATTATTTTGTTGAATATCAAAATACAAGTTAAAAATTTATACTTAGTTTTTAGTATTCCTTTGTGTTTAATTTGAAATGCAATAAATTTTTATCTTAATTACTTCAGTTAAAAATCATCAACAGCAGTACATATTTAGTACTGCTAATTAATTGTGAATAAACAGTAGATAAAAATACAAAATATTCATTTTTGCGCTATTGAAAGCAATTAAAAAATTTTACAAATTTGCAGTAACTTAGATTACTTTGGGTAATTTTAAATTTTGTTTTATAAAAAATCGGCTTCCTCCCTAAATATTATTTTGAGTTTTTGACTTCAATAAATTTTGATATTTATCTTTTATTTAATATGGCTATTTTATGCCATCGTTATTTTACAATTAGTTCGCAACCAATTTTCGCCTTGATCTTTTGATTGGCCTCAGTTTACTTTTTTCTTCGAAATTCAAGATATTTTCTAGTTTTTCATGAAATCAAAATAAAATAATAAGTAAATGAATTTTTTGTTGCAAAAATGAAAGATAAGTCTGTGATACTGAAGGAAATATTCAGGATTGTCATTAACTTTTTGTGATTTCAGCAAATTGTACTCATATTTCAGCATTATCATCAATTTTATGCTTGAAATCCTAATTAGCAGAAAATATCATATATTTAAGGGTAAGTTAAGTAAAATTTAGATTTTTACATAAATAATATTGGTAGATTATCAAAATTCATACGAGATAAATGAATACAGTCTATGAAATGAGTTTTTGCAAGTTTTATGTCGTAAATATAATACTTGTTAGTTAGCTCTTCTGTATTCTATCTAAGAGATTAAAAATTTATGTGCTAAAAATTCTAAGGTGAATGAAATATTTGATAGAAGAAAACGAATTATAGAAACTAAAATTGAAAAAAAAGAATTACTAAAATTAAATGATAGTAGTAGTTGGATTTATCGTTTACTGCTACAAAAGTTTACAAAACTGTGGGAAATAACCAAGAATATAATTAGTTATCACTAAAAATATTAAACTTTCGTTTTTTTTTCTATAATAAAATGCAATTTTTATTACAAATAGTTGCAGTGTAAAAGGTTACAATAATGATGCAAAAAGAAAGATAAATACAAAAGTACTGTAAAGCAAATTTATTAAGTTCATCTGTTTAGATGATAGTACATAATTGATATTATTAACTTGTGTAATGAATTTTTGAAATTTTTCGAAAATTTTCACTTTGAATAACTGTTAATAAGAAATATGTAAAAGTGACAGAGTCAATAAGCAGTAATATTCATACTTTTAAAGCTTCAGAAAAATTTGATCACGTTTTCAGCTAATGATGCGACAAAGTATTATTGCAAACTTTCTTTTTCAAATTTGGTTTTCATTTTTTCATCAAAAAAAGTTAGCTTCTTTTACATTTATTTTTCCTTCTCAATCACTCTGTCTTTTTTATTGAAGTTAATTTTTCAAATTAATATCTGTACAAATTATTTACAATTTCAGATTCTATGCAAAATTTGACATTCTAATCAGCGATTACTTCAATGATATATTTTAGTTTTGTATAAATTTTCTAGAAATATGTATTCAAAAATTTATTCATCTGTCAATCACTTTGTTATGCATAGAGAATATTTTCTGCATTTTGAATGAATTGTAAGTTAATTTGAATAACTTAATGTGAAATGTGCAAAAATGACACAACCAATATTTAAACTGTGTGTATATTCAAATTTTTCTAATACAACTGATTTAGATTATAGTTTAATTATCGTGTGTGTAAAGATGTTGTCATCTAATATTTTAGTGCATTTATGTAATGATGTATGAGTACATATGTAACTGTTTGAAAAGACTTATAATAATTTCAAGTCTCAGTTTTCATTTTAGTCTATCTATGTGATGATTTGATTAACTTTAAATGAACTTTACCAAAAAGATAGAAAATCGCTTGCTTGTGGATTGGCTGAGTTAGTGTGTCAAAAGAGTGGCCTGGTCTAGACTTAGTCTTGCCAGCAACTTGAGCGATTCATTCATTCAATACTAGTAAGCCTAGCAGCAATGCTAACAAAACCTTTCTTCGGCTAGCATTATCAATGCCTAGCTTAGCTGAGTAGTACTTCAAGCATAAGGCATGGAAGAAAAAAAAACCAATTTTTGCAGTACACGAGAAGGATTAAGACAATTTACTGCTAAATCATTCAACTCTATAGCTAGGCTTATTTGCTTTTTACTGAAATTTTTGCAAGCTTTTAAACATATATCCATAGGTCATGCCATTTTCAGTAAAATCTGAAAAATATTCGTCTTTTTTTTCTCAAAACATTATTACTTCATTATCATATCTTTTATTACATTTTCCATTTACTGATTTTCATATCATTATCAATAAACTTCATATTATACTCGTAATCAGTTGCTAAACTTTATCACTTACCACAATAGTTCATTTTCACTTATTCGTTCACTTTTATCACTGTAATTTCAATTTCTCCAAATCATTTTCATACTAATTATTTTATAAATTTGTTTACTAAGCTCACTTCAAATTAATAATGTAAGCTGACCTAATTAGTCTTAATCTCTTTGCTTTGTTGTCATTTTGTTATTCCTAATGCTTTGTTGCTGAAATAAACACAAAATTGCCAGATTGTTTTGCTGATCCATATTAAGACTGATATATTATTAGCAAAATAAATGATACATTTTTTAATATTTACGGTAAGTACTTGTGAACTATTTATTTCTACCAAAGAACCAACAAATGATTAACATTTGAACTTGTCATAATAATGTTGTATCAGTATTTTAAAACATTTCACTACAAAATCTCTTTAAACAAAAATTTGCTCTGCTTAACAATCTCTAACAGTAATTAATTTTGGAAATTCTTTTCTGGCTTCTTTTCTTTAGCTGTTCTTTTTTTTTTCATTTTTTCCCTCTCAAAAGATATTGCTAATTTGAAATTCAATACTTTGCAGCACTGATTGCCAAATTTACCAAAAAATAAAATACATATCTGGCTTTTCAATCTGTATATTCAATAATGAGTACTTGGAGTTCGGCTGATAAGCAAATTCAAGACAACAATGATAACACGAGTAATTGTGCATTGAGCGATTGTGATAGTGATGCTGAACTGTAATTTTTTACTTATTTTATCATTTATTTATTTTTTTAATCAGTCAATCAGCTATAATTTTGGGTTAACTTCAAAGTTTTAAAATAATTGAAGAATTCAAATGATAAAGTACAAGCATTTATTATCATCACCCCTAATCAATTTTATTTTTATTAGAACATGGTCGTCAGAAAAAAAGATAAATTGTCGAAATACGCTTAACCAATCGTTATTTCGCACACAAATTAGCAGTATTAATAACTTACAAGATGATGATGGCACTGACAATGACGGAGACGATGATGATGATGATATTGATGATGATAATAATGATGATGATGATAATTATGATGAAGATAATGATGATGATGACAATGATGACGATGAAAATTTACAGTTTTCTTTATCGCTATGGAGCAGTGACACTAGCAGGGTTTTTGTTGTTTACAATAACTATGATTAGAATAAAAATAATTTAAATAGTATTATAATTATATCGTTGCTTTTGTCATAGGATGATGACACAAGTAATGACAGCGATGAAGAATTTGCAGTACATGCTTGCTTACGAGGACTTATTAAATCTAAATCAATATCATCAATTCAAAATCATAGTTACAAAAGGCCCATATATAAAGGTTAATTTTATTTTTATCAAATGCAAAATTATAAAATGAGTAATAAAGAGAGTATGTAAGCAAAAAAACAATTTTTAATTACTAATTTCATGTAAATGCAAGTGCATTCAATGATTTGAAAAGTAATACTACTTATTTATAGCTTATTATTCTATTCAAATTATTTTAGCCAAATCAAACATTTTTTAAAAAGCAGTACTTTTTCAAAATTAATTAAGAAGACTGAAATAGCTTATAATGACAGGAAAAAGAATATTTTCATTCTTCTAGTTGAATTCGATACTTGCTGAAGTCTTAAATTGCAGAGATGTTTGATGGCACCAACTTTGCTGCTGCTAATTCAATGAAATTTTCACACAATCAGTATGCCAAGATGCAGTTATTACGCAAAGGCGAAAGTTTAGCATCTTCAGCTATGTATCTTTCTCAGGACCAAGCAATTCATAACCGGTCACCACAATCTAAGGTTATTATATATCTTAAAAATTATTCTATTCAAGACAACTTTTAATTTTATGTCTTATATTAATTATATTTTGAGTGATGTAATCAAGGCCAAAGAGTGATTCATGTAAAATTAATAACTTTTATTGCTGGCAGTTAGTATGCAAATTATTTTAAGTCTAATTATTAACCACTTTTACTTATTTTTAATTCATATTAATTTATAAAAAGAAAAAAAGTTACTTTCTCATAAAATAAATTTCGTTTCTTTTGGAAGCTTTGCGTTTGTGCATGTGTCAAAAGTCATATTCATCACTTCATTAAACTTTTCTACTTTACAAAAATGATAATTTTATAATAAATGGTTGGTATCATTTTGAAACTTTTTGCATGAACTCTAGAATTTTTGTTAAGAAAAATCTTATTAATGCAATAAAAGTCTAAAGGTTTTTGTTTAATAGCTTTTTTGTTGATAAATTCAATTGCTAAAGTAAATGTCACGACTGCTTTAGTTCTTGAATGGAAAGTAAGAAGTTTTTATCTTCAGAAAACAAAAAAATTTAAATGAACTCTAGAATTTTTATTATTGATAAATTCTCAACTACATTAGCACAATTTTTTTCGATGAATAGCAAATTGAAACTTTAACATTGCTTAGCAGATTGTTTATTAAAGCTTTGGTCTTATAATATTTAGCATTAAAATCGTTGAGTAGTATTTTTCAATTTGTTAAGCAAAAATTTTCCAATTAGTTGAGTGAAATAAGCTTAAATTCAGATTCAGCCAAGCAGAAAAATTGGTAGTTATTGGTCAGCTCCCGAAAATGATTACCAAGAAAATGAGATTGGCTTTGAAAGTGATGATGAGTTTGATCAGGCTGGTTCTTCGCCTTTTACTTGTTGCTGGTCTGCTCCAGAATTTGTCGCTGATAATGATCAGCAAGTATTTATTTTAATATTCATATCATTAATTTTTGCATGACAATTTTCTCTTTTGAAATTTATACTCATTATATATCACCATTACAATTCATTTTTTTAAAATTACTGTATTGAAAACATTTATTAACATTTTAATTCAACAAAATCCAAACTTCATAAAATACCATTGAATTTCCTTAACATACCACCAGAAAAATGAAGATGCAAAACGTTAAGATTTAGCTTTTTCGAGATAATATAAGTAATAACTAAAACTAATTTCATGTATTATTATATAATTATCTCAAAAATCTTTTACATATTTACAATGATCAGATTTTTTGCTTCCAGTGAAAATACAAATAATAGTCAAATTCTACATTTGGCAATTTTCATGCTGAGTATTTGAAGTTAATGACAGAATTAGTATAACATTGTTTCAAGCAGTAAAGTAACCAGTTCTAAGCATGAAGCTTTGACTTTTGCATATATAATTTATTTTGCAGACATTTGATGAGGTTTCAAGCTCAGATGATGCTTCCTTCACTGTAGCAAAACTCATGGCAACAAATGAAGCCTCTCAAGCTAAGTCTTGGTAGGCTCTTTAGCTTGTGATTACAAGCTTTTGAAAATAAACCTGCCAGTTACTAATTTTTATTGCCACTCATTTGTTCGATATTGTTTAACATTGAATTGTTGAACGTTTATGTTAATAAAATACATGGATTAACAACTGAATAAATGAATTATTACAGCGTTGATTTAATGGAATATGACGAACCAATGCGTAATAGCATTTTGGATTTTGATGGTCAAGTAGTTCAACAAACTACTAATTTAATCAACCTAAATTTAGCATCAAATAAATTTTGTCCACGAGCAATATCCGAGAATGATTCGCTTTATCTCTATGATGCTAGTCCATCACCTCATCGGTTAAGAACTTTTCATTATTTTATGTATCACATTTTTATTGATTATAGATGAATAAAAAATTCAATGAAAATATTTTATTTGTGTTTGAAGTTGCAAAACTTTTGCAGGGAGGAGGAAGAAATAGGCTTTGCAGATGAACTTGCAAAAGTTGAAGAGTGTGTTAACAAGTGGACACCAGAAGGAGTTATTAATTTTGCTAAAGAAATTTCACGTGAAAATGCAGAAACTTATCAAAAATCTTGGGAAAGTCATCAACAACAAACAAATACTGTTATGAATGTGTCAAAATCACTTGGAAGCTTGAATTTATGGTCAGCTTGATGATATTTTTTAGATCAAAAGTTTTAACTAAATACATTCAACACAGATGTGCTATTTTTTTTTGCAAATTCAATAAGCGTACTTGAACATTTCTATCTTAAAAAGCATTTTTCATCGCAGAAGCATTCTTTTATAACCAACCGTACATTTCCCACTTACACTTTGCTATTCACAAAATGTATTGAAAGTGTAATATAATTAACAATATCATTAAAGTCTTCCAAAATAAAGTTATCACAAACTTCATATAAAAAATGAAACTAAAAAGTAGTATAAGTCTAATTCTGCAAAACATGGCAAATATTTTTAAGGGAAACTGATATTGGTTGGGTAACAAGATTTTCATCTAATGTGGATCATAGCGGGCTGGTTATGCGCCAGAGTATTAGTTGCCAAGAACAAATGATTCAATCATACGTTGATTCTGCCATACAAAATCACTATAACAGGTTAGTTAGTTACGTTCTTTATGACTAACTGACTAGCTTAAGCTTGATTGCATTTCTTTATTTATTGTGCGAATATTTGAAAATACTGAAATAAAGTAGCTAATTAATCATTATTATTATAGTTATCCTGAAAGTTTAAAAGCTGAAAAACATTTTATAATCATATACTATAATTTGAATATGATCAGTAGAGAAGTAAATAGAAAGTGATGGCATCATTGCAAAAATCAAATTACCCAATTTGAATAAAATTATCGAAAGGATTACAATTTTCATAATTTTATAGATGTTCTTCGCCAGATTGTCATAAATATGCATCTAAACCAGAAGTAGTAGGACAATCGATGCTTAGTGAAAGCGATATATCAGATGATGAATGGATTCCATGTACTAATGAAGGAAAGTTAGAAGAAAATCTTGTGAAAAATTCAACAGAAAATGATGCAAACACTAAAGTACCCGCTACTTTGTATTTTCCCAATAATAATAGCAACAACATTTATACTACATATCCAAGTGATCAAAATCTACAAGATCTCAGTGCAGAGAAGATTAGTAGTAGTGATGATGATGATATTCAAGTATCCTATGAAAATATTGCAAAGAAGTCTCCAGATGAAACCGTATTTTCACGTCTCAGTACTAAAAACATAACTGATTATGGTATCACAAGCAGTGAGAATACAACGAAAAGTCAAAAAGAAGAACCTTTGTCTTATCGACCGATTTCATCTTCGCCGAATATTCTTGATTCAATTCCACGTCGAGCATATTCTTTAGAAAGTTTTGACCATATACCAGAAACCATCCCAAGGATTGAAAATCAACTACAAAACTTTACAGTCAAAGCTACTGAAATTGATGACGAGCGGCATTTTGTTGAAATTTATAATCTACCGCGAAATCATTCTACCACAACACACCCAATCAATAATGAATCTGGCATATATGAAAGTCATGAGAATATATATATGAAAAATTTTGACTCAAATGAAAAGAAAAAGTTATTGGACTTCTATGGATTTACATTTGATGTCAAGAAGTCGAACATTACAGATAATAATGGCGTTCCGCCTACTTTAAATCCAAATTTTGAGGAGAATTATGAAGCGAGTAAGCTGTCTATGGTTTTATTCAAAGGGTAGAGTTTATGCTAGTAAGCACTATTAAGATCATAATGATTGAATATGCACGAGCTAATTTAAGATGAATCAACATAAGATGCATATTTTTTTAAATAATTTTAGAGCAAAGCATAACTGAATAAGCCAAAGATTTATTCTCTTAAAAACATAAATATTGTTATTTGAAATCTAGTTTTATTTTGAATGATTTAGAATGATTATTGTCTCTAAGCTGATTTAAATTTAAAAAATTTATCTCGCAAGATAACTATTTGTAGTAATTATTCATGTCGTTGAATTATCAAAAACCTAAAGACTATTGTAAGCTTTTAGAATGAAGTAAAATATCTTCAAGAATTTGAATTCAGTTAGCAACTTTTCAATCACTTTTGTGTTTCATGTAATAATTTTTGTTTTTGAAGATTTTAAGAACCAAACAGCAGTTGACGCATTACATCCAGAAGCATCATTATGGAAAGATTGTTGTGAATATGCACAACAAGTTAGTGAAATTGCTAGTGTTTGGTTGCAAAAATCGGTCGAAAATTTGAATACAGAAAAAATACCAATGGATCAAGTACCCAAACTTTGTTCAAAAATGTCTATTTTTTTTAATTTATTAAGAATCTATTATTGTGCATAAAATAGTTTATTGTGAAAAATTTTATCTCAGAAATATCTGTAATTAAATCAATGAAATAGTCAGTAATATTCTCAAAAATAGATGTATATAAAATTCTATATTCTTGACGATTACTTCATCTGCTGTTTGTTTAACTGACTAAAAATCTAAGATATCATCCTTATGAATCCGAAGTCCATATTTATGCAAATAATTATAATAGAATAATAATATATAATTCTATTCCTGAATGAGCATTTCGGATATTTAATTCAGATCCAAAAATATTTATATTCTTTAGGAACAAAAAAGTCAAAGGACTGCACTTCGGATGAAATTATTTAAAATATTATTATTAAGTTAACTGATAATATAAATTAAATAAATTTATAACTCAATAATCTCTATCTTTTTCATTTTGAATAATTATTGACTGTACCATCAAATTATTTAAATTTTTAGATGAAGTGAAAAGCTAATAAAAATTTAGCGTTTCAGTCTGAAAAAATTTTTTTGAATACAAGCATTTAGTTAATTATTTGATGGTAAACTATTATTTATTTCAATTAAAAAAGAAAAAGAGGATTTTTGTAAGGACTTATTTCATTAAGTATTAAATGCAAACTGATATTATTCAAAAAAAGATATAGGAATATGACTTGCACGATGTTGAACGTCATACTAAAATTCTGCATAAATTTAAAAGTGTACTACTTTTCAAGAGAATGCGTTAATTTAATATTAAAGTACTTTTTCTTTCTAAAAATAATATCACCTGCACAATCTTAATAAATTTTATAATAAGCTTATATAAAATTCATCACGTCATCAAGTTAGTATTTAAGATTTATTCAAGTTCTTCAGCTGAAATCTTATTTTTTAAGCAACTGCATAGAAAATAATGAATTTTGTAAAGTAGTAATTTCTTTCACTACAGCCTTATTTCAATACCATATTTTTTAGCTTTGTGAACAAATTATGCCTGGAAATTATTTTACATTTCGCAGTTGCATAACTTTATGAGCACTTATTGAAACTGAGAAAAACTTTTCAATAAATCATTTACTAAAATTTAGCATTCAAATATGTTAATATATATGCTATATTATAATATTAAAGAATTTAGAAAATTACCACTTTTTTCTGCGAAACTTGAAATTAAATATATGTACTCACTTAATATCAATTTATTTTCCATAATCTTCATAGATATATTTTTCATTTCAAGCATGATGAGTGTATTATAAATTCGAAAATTAAAAATTATACATGAAATTATTTTAGAGTTGATGCAAACAAATCTATCCTGGATACTCCTCAACTAATCAGTAGACACACGCCTACTTCATCATCCATCAATGGTGTGTTTTAATTATTAAAAAAATTCTTTTTGAGTAGACTTTTTGAGTAGTAAACAAGAAATAGTTGTTTCAAAAATTAATTAAAGACAGCAAATGTTTGAATATTTCAGAAAACGTATAACTGAACTGTATATCTGTTGTAATTTTAAGGTTATTACAATAATTATTGAGAACAAAATGTGCATTAATAGCATTTCCAAAACTATGTTAGCACAATTAATAGCTCTGAGTTTGAAAACATAAATATGTTTAAAAGTGAAATGGATAGAAAGTGCTTTTTTTTTTGGTTTTATAATTTATAGCACTAATTTTGCACAAAGTCCCTTCAAATGCATTTTGTGTGCGAATGAAGTTTTATTTATTTCCATACATTCAGACACTTAGGGCAAGTGAAAATGGCTAACAAGTGTAATTATCCGACCATTTTTTTTTGTCCTCCTATTTGGCATTTGAGCATGACAGAACAGGCACATTTGCAAGCATGTTTTCTGCTAGTACAAGTACTGCACTATATAAACCACGAAAATTTTGTGCATGTGTATGTATATTCGTATGTGTGCATGTGTGTGTGCATGTGTGTGAGGATATGTGTGTGTATATTCGTGTGTGTATATTCGTATGTGTATTTCTGTAAGTGTGCATGTGTGTGTATTTCTGTAAGTGTGCATGTGTGTGTATTTCTGTAAGTGTGCATGTTGTGTGTACATTCATGTGTATATTTATGTGTGTGCATGTATATACATACATACATACGTATTATGCGTATATGTCTGTCTGTGTCTATCCTTGCATGTGTTTGCTAACGTAGCAGTGATCAATGCTGACTAGCTTTCAAGCAAAAAAGAATTTAAATTCGATTGCCAAATGCAAAGATATTGTGATGGAAGTATGTGTGCTACTGCTCAGTACTGCTGCCAACTATGCATAGCCTCAATCTTTCTTCTTATCTAAAATCGATTCTCAGTGATATTTGTGAGCAATATTTGCATATATTAAGCTTTTACTTTACTTAATAGTACTTTGAATCAGTTGAAAGACAATGACAAGCAGTTAATAAATTGCGTAGATAATTTGCATATTTACTTTGCAAGCGGAGAAGTAATTACAGAAGAAAAAGATGCAAAGGCATTGTAAGGGCACAAGTAAGCTTATATTACTGCCCTCTGATAATGCTCTAAAAATGAATTAATTCACAAGCAACGACAAAAAGCAAGTTAAAATGCAATGATATGCTATATTACAAGCTGTCATTTTCATTTGGCACTGTTACTTGCCTAATCTAAGTAAGTTAGCTTACTAACTAATCTCTTCACTTGCCTTTTTCTTTTCAACCAAAAGAATTTTATGTTTAAGCAAGCAAATATCTTGCTAGTTATATTTTGCTCTGAATAAAACACATCGTCATTGTCCCTTCTACGCTATTCTTTTTATTTATTCATATTTATTTCTTTTATAGATCTAACTTACTTGCATTAAGTCTTTTCAATGTGAGTAAACCAATAAGTAACTTAGTGAGCACTTATAAGTATACTAATACGTGTAATTTAGATACAGCTTATCTAAACCTAACTAATAAGTAAGTAAGTTAGTCTCCTGATCACTATTTATTATCATTAAATTATCACTCAAAATTGATAAATTTGTATCCATAAAAATATGAAAAAAAAAATTTTCTTCTACCTTGTGTTTGTTGTTCCAAATTTTTTTTTGCATGATAAGAAAAAAAAGTACTTTTATCTTTTTGAAGTTAACGATAATTTTTAAAAATGTACATATTTGATGGCTTGTTGTCTTAAGCTTTAATTCTTTCAAAAAAAGTTTAAAAAAGCAGAAAAAAGGTAGAAAAAAATATGTTTTTATAGTGGTTTTTTAATATTCTTGTACATGTAAATTTACCTCAAAGCAAAATGATGAGTAAAAAATTTTTTATTGAAATTATGACTACTCATTTAATCTTACTTACTGAACAGATAAGTTTTCTGCTTGATAATTTCGAGAAATGAACTAGTTTTTTATCATTAAATAAAACTTCAGCTTCAACTTTGGTATCATGAAGCTTGAACTAATTAAGATATGAAAAGAATTTTTAATCCTTACTGAAAATATTGACATAGCACACTTCTATACAAAAAAAATTATTTTCAAGCACTAAAAAATTGAAGTCTAAGCTTGAAATTTAAAATAAAGCTCTACTAGAATGATGCAGTATCATTTTTTACCTAAATGCATGCATTTTTTTGTATTTTAAATTCCACTCTCAGTGTTTCACTATTTTCGGTATTTTTTAAATAAATAGAGATACAATTAGGTTATTTTAACGATAGTTTATTGTAATTATTGCTTAAACATAGCAAAATGCCACTTTTTTAAATGCGAGTTTCAGTATTTCCAGGAGGCTTCTTCACGTCATCCACTTCTGCGTCAGTTCATCGACGTTTACCACAGCTTCCCGCTGAATCCCCGGGAACCTCTACTCATTTGAGTTTATGTTTTCATTCAAAACCAGAAATGTCAACAAATTTATTTTCACCACCTTTAGATGTTTCACATCCTACTCAGGCATCATCATCCATTAAACAAAATCACAGGTATTGCATTCAGTCTTTAAAAATGTCTGTAAACGATATTTAGTTTAAACTGAAATGATATACTTCAGTTCTCTTTCAAGTATTGAATTATCTTGGAAATATTTGCTACTGCAAACTACTTTTTAGTTATTCACTCTCAAAAACAGAATCTCAGCATTATATTTTGATAGAATAAGCTAAAATATGATAGAATCTTCATATTGAGTTCAAATCTTTGCATGCAACCGTGAAGTTCAGAAATCTCATTCATGATAAGAATAGCTACACCCAGTCTTTGCAATTGTCCAGTTTTAAGATCAGTGTGAAGCTTTTTTATTTTATAAAAAATTTGTATGATGCAAAATACAAAAATACCCTAAATATCAGGTGTATCTGCATTGTGCAATTAGAGAATACTTAAAATGTGAAAAATCTTGAAAATTTTTGAAAATTGACAAAATAATTATTCAGCTAAGTTATCAAATTTGAGATCATATAAAAAGTTTCTGAAACAGTTTACTGAGAGCTTCTAGTTTTGTTGATTGTCGTTTATTATAAAAATTTTTTTTTCTCAATCTTTTGGATTGATTGTGATTTTTTAATTAGAATACGTCATTCAAAAACTTGGCTACAAAGATGCTTAATAGCATAATCATGTAAAAATGTCTCTCATTTCAAATTAAATACAATACATGTAAATTACTTTAAAAGTTTTGTAGGATTTGTTTTGGCACGGATTCATTAATTAGTCAGTCAGCGTTATTTTTGGAAGATAGCTACTATGAAGAAGACAATATTAATGGTAATCAGTTGTCTTCCAGAAAAGGCAATAGTTTCATATATAAATTAAATGTAAATCAATAATATCAAGTGTGATATGAAATGAGCATTTTTTTAAAGTAAGTTTTATTAATACTGATAGTCCAATACGGATAATTTTGCAGCAGTACAACAATTTGTACTTGAAGATTCTTCTGGAGTGTCAAGTTGCTGCACAGGCTTAGAGCAGTTCAACCCAACACATCGAGTACATTCACCATTTATTCCAAGGCATTCTGATGAAGTACTTTTGGAAATTGGTGATGCTGTTCACGTTGAAAGAGAATGTGAAGATCATTGGTGCTATGGTGAAGCTTCTATCTTTCTCCTTCATTGTTTTGTAGAAAAAAACAGTTGAAAAATTTAGGAAATAGAAAAGTCATATCTATTACTTTTGTATATAATATATACTATTTGTTTTACTATTTGTTTTTTTTTCTAATTAATGTGCTCTGTTATTAAATTTTTTCACTTGAAACATAGTCTGATATTAACTTTTAAAAAACTGAGCAATCAAAACTTTGATTGAAATTAAATGTAAATTCTGTTTATTTTTAATTAAATTTTAAGGAACTAATCTAAGAAGTAATCAGCATGGTATATTTCCATCAGCACATGTTTGTGAAATTGATTTAGTTGAGGAAATTTGTATGGGAGCATTGCCAAGTAATGCTAATCGTAAGTTGTCTCTTACAGTATAATACAAATCTAAATTACTCATTAATCCGTCAAGACTTAGTTGTTAATAGTGCATATATCACAAAAATAATAATATATTAAGTTAAGTATGTATTGAAAATAAGAATTAGTAAAAAAAAAAGCAAAAATCATTATACGCTGTTTTAATTGAAACATTTCATTTCATTAATTTAAAACTGAAGAAATAATTGTGATAATGTAAACAGTGAAAGTTTACTTATGCTTAATTTGAACAATATAAACAGAATATGAATTAAATTTGTCATAATAGTATACTTATCACAACTTTGATTGCAGAAACGATGACAAATGAACGCGATACATTTTATTTAACAATGTTAGCATCAATTGAGGTAGCTCATCACAAAGGAAATGATGTTCTTATTCAGGCTATGAACAAGGTTTCGCTAGGATTCTTTTTTACTTATTTTCAATGTTGTACTGAGGTCACCAGAAAGTTTTCCCGTACTGTTGTTGTAGTTACTTTTGTCTGTATCGAAATTGTTTTTTTTAATCAATGACTCCTGTGTATTTTAATTCGAGTTTTAGTGCACAAAATGGAGTAAGCAAATATTAAATTAAGTAGTGAAAATATAATTAGAAGAAAGCACAAAGAGCTAAGTATTTGTAGTCTTTTTTTAAAACAATACATTACAGTAAAAAGAAAGTTCAGGTACTTGGGATATATCATAACAAAGAGGAAATAATAGTACCTCAAACGGTTCTCATGGAAGTATCGTTCCGTGGTATACATATCATTGATAAACGGAAAAAGAATGTAAGCAAATAATTTATAAATTAAACATGTTACTGTAAAAAAGGGAAAAAGTTCTAGCTTTCAGAAGTTAAATTCGTACTGATGTCTCACTAATTCATAATTCATAAGTAGAGCTTTTCTAAAGCTTGCAAAATTCATGCATAAAATAATTTAAAACCAGATGTATTGTAATTTTTGTTCCACATTGCTGTTTTCACTGTCAAATCTTAAAATGTCTTTGAATTTTAGTTAAAGTCAGTACATCTGTACTGAAACTTTGTTTCTTGTATATCACTTCACTCCTTTACCTTCTGCAGACCAATGTTATTGAAACAAAGATTACTGAATATCTGATTCTTGTTACATTTTGCATTGAAAAAAAGCACTGTAAAGTTTGAGCAAATTCTATTTAAATTACGAATTATTAATATATTGTTTATTTGTCATTTTTCAGTTTTTCCAATGCCCTACGTTTGATTTTTTCTATAGCTTACAAAATATTTCTTTTTGTGGTGCGCATCCAAAACAACTGAGGTTGGTTGCTTTGAATAGATTTCATTTTATATGTAAATTAATTAAGGTATTTTTCGTAACAGAAAGCTCACAAACTTGGTAATTTTTGCTTTTTAAGGTACTTTGGTTTTATTACAAAACATCCGTTATTGCCACGTTTTGCATGTCACGTCTTCTTATCTAATGTGTCTACTCAACCAATAGTTGAATCCATAGGGTACTTTTTGTTCTAGTTTAAAATACTTATTTTCTGATATTTTCACTGAAGTAAATTATTATTTTTATATCTATAAAAACAAGTAATGACAACTATCGCATTTAGAAGTAGTTTTTTTCTTTCATTGCTAGAAATAATACTTTTAACTATTTTAAAAAGCATTTCGATGAATTTTGTCAAAGAATTTTTTTTATTTGCTCAACAGTTTTTTTTTCTAGAAATTATAAAAAAACTTCTTAAAGTAAAGTTTTTATTATTTTGATAACTTTTACATTTTTCACTTGACAGCGATACAGCATTCTTAATAAGGACAGTCTAAAGTTTATTTAAATTTTAGACGTGCATTCAAGCGTTCTTACGACGAATATATGGCATTTGCTCATCCAACGGAAGATATTTACCTCGAATAATTCATACTAAATTAATCAGAAGCCGAATGATGGTTTTGAAGTTCAAGAATTTATGTCATTAAATGTAAGTAACATTATTTATTTACTTATTTACTGACTTATCTACATAATGTTTTAGCAAAAAAGTCATAGTTAGAAAAATATATCCAGTCTTTTTGAAAAGTTACTCGTTTTTGCTTTAGAATCATGAATTTACCATTGATTTTGAATTATTTATTCACATTTTTCAATTATCTCAAAGAGTTGACAATTTGAGAATGCGCTGCATTTCTAAAAATTTTCTTCTTAGTCTCATCTTTGCTGGAGAACAACTTGTCAGTTAGTGTACACAAACACTTTGCTTCTTTAGAATTTACTTCGTGAATATTTTAAAACATGCAAAATACTGCCAGAGTATAAAATAAAAATGTTTTTGTCATTTACATTTTTTATCCTAATTTTTACTAAGGGATAATTAAAATTTTGTTTAGCTCTTATTTCTGACATTTTTAACTTAGAATTTTTTATTTCTCGTTTATATTCATTTTATATTCATTTAAAAAAAACATTCGTAATTTCAGCATGATTTATGTACATATTTGAATAACTAAATAGTTTTCAGATTTTTTGAAAAAAAAAAAGAAATAATTGTTTGAAAGAACTACAGATGAAAAAGCAATATTTTACGATATCGCGATTTGTATTCAATTATTAATCGTTTTTTTCTAAATTGCACAAAGTAATGAAGATGCAATTTTCTGTTGATTATATCAATGACAATCTTTTGCAAGATATATATGTTAATGTATCAATTTGACATTCCTATTTTAGAAAAAGTTTTCTATTTAAACTTGGCTTAAATAAGGTGATATTTTTAATAAACAAGTTGATTGTGCTACTTTTTGAGCCAGTAGCTAATGAAGTTTTGAGTCACTAGCTGTTTTACTTTTGGACATAGCGTGTAAGTACTTTTATCGTTTATTTGATGATTTTTAAGTACAAACAAAAGTAAACAATTTTTTAATTTGTATGAACTTTTATTTGTTTTAATTAATAAACACATAGATATAATTGTTGTACATATTATGCTACATTCAACTGTCATAGCTTTATCAACCATAAATAATGAATGATCCACATTTGTGCTAACAGTCTAATAGTAACATTTTGACGCGGATTTAAACATTGTACTTTTCATGTTTTATGTTTATTTATTGCAATACAGTAATTGTATGAAGAGGAACACAAGATGAGATATTGCGCCATAAAATAAGTTATCAGAATTAATTTTTCTGCATTTGGTATCTCAATGCCAACATGGTGAATGATAAACGCACTATCCGATAGATAAAATAATATAAAACCCAGAAAACGAAGTAGATTATTCTGGAAGGAAGGTTTTGAATATATAAATTAAAATTACATTTGATAATAAAAATGAAAATTTTAAAAACAAATCGGTTTATGTGATGCGAACTTTAATTATTTTTCATTCCAACATTTAGTCAATTAATTCTTGATGAGCACATGAATAAATTATAATTTATAAGAACTTTAATATATAAAATTTGGTAATCATAATTTTTATTCAAATTTATGATATAAACTTACATATTGTCGAGGGTGGTCACATGGTCCCCCTTGAAGATAAAGAGAACCACTGAATATTACACATACTGATAGCAGCAGTGAGTAAATAATTATCATAGCCATTGAAATCATTGCATGACTAATTAACAGCATTGTTAAGGTTGTATAAAGAACCATAAAACTTGCTAGTATTGTTGAGATAAGTATACACAAGGAAAGTTTGCCCAATCGATACGTAAATGATAACTGAAGTAAACTAAATCTATACATTTTGGTTTGAATTTGAAAAATTATATGGGGTGAGTGATTTGATATGTGTATACTACAATAGCTTAATGAGATCAAGCATTGCATAATCAAATTATATATGCACGATAAATACTTGAATTGATGTGGTTCAATCATTCACTGCATGACTCCAGGTAACAGAACTCCAGGTAACAGATTTTGTATTTGGATCCAGAAGAAAAAGGTACAAAAGCAGTAAGTGAATTGGATAGGAAATACAAGTTAGACTTTCAGTCTTAATAAGTTAATTCACATTGAAAAAAGCTAATGCTGGCACTGGACTAATTATGAGAATAATAAGTAGATCATTTTACAGAGGTAATTATTATATTGCTTCGTTATTATTTGCCAAGAATGTTATCAGTGCAATGAGTAATAAATGATAACAAGTTCTGATGCCATACAATAGCTTGAATCCGTAGACTGATCGCTATTAATACTTATTAAGGCAAGAAGTTGCGCAGAATCTGACTTTTTACTTCGAATGTAAGCAGGAGAAAAATTAAGAAGCAATCAATAGTTCTGCATGATTTTTAAAGGCATTAAAATATTCATGCATATACATATGTATAATATTAATATAATGCAAAAATTTTTTACTAACCAAATAAAATATATGACCAATGGCAAAAAAAATTGCTCCAAGAGTTAAGCCATCGCTCGGTCGAACGATTAAGTAGTCTCCAATAGCTCCAAACAGTAACCCAAGACATGTATAAGCATGCTGTCGGCTATTAAAACTCGAACCAACGAAATAGTAAAGTATACTTAAGATTAACACTGGTAATGTTTTCCTAAAAATAAAAAAATAAATTTTTAATTTCAGAATCGTTTTAAAATTAAAAAAAGAGGTTACTCACTTAGTTAAGATAAAAAAATTAAATTTCATATTTAAAAATTTTTAGTTAATTTTCATGCACAATTTATTAAGAACATTGTGTTGTGATAAAAAAACAAACCTACCAATATTCATATAAGTTATCACAACTCTTAATGAAACCATTTGATTGACGATAAAATATAAAAACCAAAGCAAAATACGGAAATGCAAGAAGAGATGTAATCATTATATTGTTTCTAAAATGAAGTACATCATCATTTATCGCATTGAAAATAAAATAATGATAATTTGATATTGCCCAATGTGGCAGTTAAAAAAACAAAACAATAAATTTAATTCATTACAATTTAGCAGATGATTGAATTATGGTAAGAAAAAGCAAGTTTATGACAATAAATAAAAGAAAATTTGAATGCTAAAGAAAATTGAACTTAAATGAAAAATTTCTGCATAAAGTTAGCATAAATCAAGTTTAAGCAAACTCTTAAGAGAATGACGCTGAAGAAATATCGCAGTAGTGATGCATAGTTAATGCTGTTGTACTGTTTTTGCTGTGAGTGATAATGTTATGATGATAATGATGGATTGTTCATTCTTAACGGAAGATCATTTTTGATAAACGTTTATGTTATGCTACACTACAGCTGTCATAATCAGCTACGCTACAATCATTAAATATTGCATATTTTTAGCTTATTTTCAATTTTTTGCGTCATAAATTTAGTAATTTCTATTAAGTGTCAATTTTTTATTTATATATTGAATATGCAAAAAATTGAGTTTTTAGAATGTGTTACATAGTGCAAGCTAGCTTGCAGTTGTAATAATGAAAGCAAAGAGTAAATAATGTAAGTATGGAGTGTTGACTGTTACTAAGTGAATATATTTTTGTCTTATAATTTTTTTTTAAATAAAAAAGTTTTTTTTTCTAATAACTTTTTTTCCTCATTTTCAAATATTTAAAAGTTTTTTCTTGCATTAAATTCAAATTTAAAATAAATCTCCAAAAAATAATCTGTTATTCTATGCAAAGATATTACTGAAGCAAAATTAAAACTCATTGATATGTTTTGGCAATTTATTTTGAAATTATGCAACTACAAATTTCATTAAATTTTATGCTGCTCTCAAATACAACTACTATTATTTATTGCTGTCCAAATTTGCGTACTGTGTATGCAATATATATTTGTATAATAAGAATTTTTACATAAGTCAATGCATTAGCAAAAATTTGTGAAATATCTGTATTTGATATTTTAGTAATTTAAGCTGAATAAGAAGAAAACTGACTTAATTTCTGATAGAAATATTTTTAATATTAAAAAAATTAGAAAAAAAAAGAGCTGTCAGTGGTAATTAATTTTGCATACAAAATTAAGCACTAATGGCCAATTTTAAACAATTTTTGATCGTTATTTGTGAGATTTCTGAAATCTGTACTTGAAATAAATGATCATCTACAATTCCAACTAACAATTGCTTTCAGTGTAATCAAGTAGTAAAAGTGTTATTCATGAGTTTAACTAATAAACAGATTAATCAAAATATATTTAATATTGTAAGTGATGAGATTCGATTTTTGAATGGAGATAAACAAAATGAAATAAGCAGCAGAAATCATTGCATTAAATCAAAAATTTTAAGTGTAATTATTTGTTTAATAATCAATAACATAAAATATTATCTTTTTACTACTAGAAATTACATCTAAAATTATTGCTTAATTTCATTTTGCATTAATTATATTATTTTATTCCATTAAAATTAAAAAAGATAATGCATAATAAACTCAGTATTGATACTATTTTTGTATGCTATGTTAACAATAAAATATTGGCTCATTTACTTTATTTTTTACTACGAAATTGATATTATTTTCTAGATAATATTTGTTCTTTTCTTTCTGAAGTAATCAGCAATTTTCATTAATCAAATACATTAAAAATCATTGTACTCAATTATTTAACTCTTTACCAATTGATATTATTCATTTTATCATTTTTGATTCTTAAGTAAACGTTTGTAAGACATACTTAATCACAATTATTTGAGCATCATTTATAACTTGAATCATTGCATATGGAAAGGAAAAAATTACTATGCATATATCTTAAAACTAAAATTATTATTCCAATTAAATCTAATTACTATAAAAAGTTTGCTCTAATAAAAAAATGAAAAATTATCAAAAAGAATAAAATATAAAGCATGTTCATGAATTTTGTTGCTTTTACACTTTTCTAAATCATAAATTTTGCACAAAAAAAACTCTCTCTGATTTGGAACTTTTGCTCATTATAATTTTTATAACTTCATTTCACTATATTTACCACATCTTTCGAAAAAAATTTAGCATACAAAATTATAATGATGTGCTCACAGAATACTGCAAATATGAAAAATTGACTCATGTGATTCATTATTTTCAATTAATTCATTACTACTATCTAATCTTGAAAGTTCCAAACTTTATCATCATTGTGATGAAGTCAAATCCAAAAATATCCCCCCCCCCCAAAACAAAAAAATGTAACAAACCAATGTAGATCTGGTGTTAACGACGGAAGTCTTCCAGGACACGTATTTAATTGTTCTTCAGACACCATTTGAACTTGTGGGCATGAGATATTAGTTTTTAACGTCCCTTCTCTTTCCTGCAAATAATGAATATTAAATCATTAATTTTTAATAACCTTTTCTTTTTTGGTGTTAGCGATATAAGAAATTAAATTGTTGACTCTCAACTTTACAATTTACTTTTCTTATAACAGTTATTCCTTGTATTGCTTTCATTGAATATGCATTAACCTCATAATATCATTTCAGATAATTTAAATTTCATATGGAGGTTACGTATTTACTCACTCCTACTAAGTAAGTAACAACCATATTTTTAGATTTTGATAATGAGAAGAAAAAAGTTAATCTCTATCAGAAATATACTTCGCTCTGACTTGTTTTAGCCAAGCGAAGCTGTAACATGATCATTTATGATAAAATAATAAGTAATATAGTAGACAAATAGTGATAGACATTAGAAACTACCATAAAGCAGAAAAAATACTATCATTAAAAGTTAATAATATTAATGGGTGTCCTCTTAATATTAGTGCGTGCAAAACATTTCCGTGCAAGCTTAAAATAAGCATTGAGCTAAGATTGTGCATCATTTTAATTTTGTTTTTGCATGGACTTAAAATATTAATTGAAAACTAATTTTCAGGCAAATCAAAAAAAATTACAAATTGAGGCAGTACAAAAATATGAAAGCAATCAGTCATAATGTTTGATTTTTAAAATTACAACTATATATGTGATGTTTTGTACAAAAACTGAAATAAAGACATTGCTTTACTTTTAAATGGCAACAAAAGGTCAAACTTATAAGTACTTTTATAAGTCAGCAATACAAAAATATAAATGTGAGCATATGAATGTTCACAATAAAGTTGCTGTTTGACCTTAGAATTTTGAAAATTTTTTTCTCTCAGATTCAACATTCTAAACTTGCTTTCTTTGTATTGCTGCCAACAAGTGTCACCATTATCATTATAATTACCACTTATTATTATTATTTGTTATTATATATTATAATTATAATTATTTTTGTTACTGTTATCAAATAGTCATAATTGACTTCATATTATTCATGTTGAGAAATTATTTTCACTTTAGGCATTACTGAAAATAAGAAAGTCTGAGAGAATTTAATTGAAACAAGAAGATTAATTTTGCTTGAATGAAATAATAATAAAAGAAATCAGCAAAAAAAAAGAAAGAAAATCGTTACCTGGGCAATAAAAAATGATTTTGTTACTTTTTAATCCTTAGGAAATCAGATTGTGAAGAAAAGTGTATAATTTGTATCTAATATTGTTTCCCACAAAATTATTTCGAGTTTGGAATTAGTCAAATTTCAATGAAAACTTTTAGTGATAACTGATAATATTCTAGTATTATCTCAATGAAAAATTAATATTGTTCACATAAAGAATAAAAATTTTTAATTCTTGTATTTCATATGTGGCTAGAGTATTTTTATTTTTTGCTATTATTTTTATTCTTTCAAATAAAATATATGCAATCAATGTTCATTTGCATAATTTTGAAACGAACATAAAATTTTAGTATATATTTTGAAAAATATTTGATTACGTAACTTACATTTACGTCAAATTCCCATATGCCCGTGTCACGATCACAAATAAATGGAGAAACGAGCGATATAGGATCATATTCTTTACGATTTGTAGTATTTTTACAAAGTCCAACCATTGCCCAATTATCTTTGAGGTGTACACGCACAATAACATGTTTATTACGTTCCAAACATTCGGAACGGCATGCTGAAGGGTAATTTTTTTACAGTATTTAATGATAATTAAAATGAAAAATTTCACATTATAGCATCCTAATTTCAGTGTCATTTTAATCATGTAAGCACATTAAATTTATCACTCGCCCTCGTTATTTGTAAATGCCAAAATATAATTTGTGCAAGTTTCATTTTTTTATAATAAGTAATTTGTAGTTCGAAGTGGAAAAAGTTGCTCCTTTAAAAATATTCTTATCGACATTTGCAGTAATTTGCTTTTTGAATGCAAATAAATTGACGAAAAAATAGTAGAATATAATTTAGGATACGATATTTTACTGAATATGAAACTAATAATCGGTTGAGGTTAGTTGCAATTTTCAAAGCACAACTTCTAAGCAATGTGTTGTAAAACATTCCTAAGACTTTGTAATTTGCATATTGTATTTGAAATGTTATATTCAAACTATCACTTAATTAAATTCTTTTTATTCTCGAGATTTGAATACATAACAACAAGATGCATTATTGTAAGTAATCAATTTTTGTAATTCTTGATCGATTATAATATTATTATGAATTTCTTAGTGCAAAAAGAAAAAAGAAAAATAAGAAATTAGAAGAAATAAATTTTAAGTGTGTAAATGACACACGCCATTTTAATATATAATGACCTTTCAGTGTTTTATGCACAATTTTTATTGTTTTGTACAAAACAAAGCCTGCTTTCATTAATAAATGAGCAGTTCGTTAAATAGTTTTATGCTAGAAAAAAAAAAAGTAATAATAAAATTGAGCTGTCTTTGAATGACTGGAGCAAATGAATGTAAAATATTATAACAAAGTACTGATTATAACAAAGTATTTCCATAGTTAATATTCAATTGCAATATTAATAATTAATATAATAATAAATGTGTTTATTTTATTATTGTATTTTTTCTGCATTATTTGCTCAAATCAAATTTTCAGATATTTGCTTCTATTTCTGTTGAAATAATAACTCAGAGATGTCTTTTTTCTTATTCATTCATTTTTTCTTTCAAATAATTTCTTGAATATTTTCATTTTTCTTACAAGAAAAAATATATAATTCAAAAAAATTAAACTTGCATCCTGTACTTCCAGCATGAAGAAATGTTGCATTTAATAACAGTAAAAATAATGCATTCAGTAACGAGACACTCCTCTTCTGATCCATGAAATCACAATTGCGCGATGAAATAAAAACTTGAAGATTATTCTAGTTTTACATTCAGATGTAATAAGACAAAACTATTACTAACTAATATGAAGCCTACAAATAACTGTGCTCTTTCATCAATTAAAAATTCTTACAGAACAATATGAAATGGTGAATGAATTCATTTAAACAAACCTGTTTTTACTTATTCCACTTTTTTATCACTAAAATTTGTAAAAATGAAACATAGACTGCTATTAATGCTATCAAAATCCTAGCAAATAATAATATACAAATAAATTTGCTTTCTAAAATTGATTAGATCTTCAAAAAAATTTTTGAGACTTACTTTGAAACGATATTTTCAAATCATAAAAACAAAGACTGCAATATTTTCTACATAATTTCAAGTATGACAGAAGAAATGAGAAAATTTCTGCTCAAAAAACAATAATTTTGATGAATTGCAGTGTTCATTGTTGCAACAGTTCTCCAAACGTAAGAAAAATTGTAAATTCACATAAATCATTTCTAATTTTTAGTATTACAATATGGAATACGAAGAAAAAATTTTTCGCCCAGTCATATAGTTTGTAATTTTCATGTAAATTTTCATGCAAATTTTTAGTATGCATCTAAAGATAAAATCAGTGTACATTCATAAAGCAAAAAATATTTTATTTTCATCTCAAAATTATTCAAACAAGAATCATGTATAATTAGCAATCAATAAGACCACTGGCATTCATTACTGCAGCAGATATTGCCATAAATATTACGATGAGTGAAAAATGGTAGAATACGAAATGGAAGAATAAGAATTCTAATAAAGCACAAATGCAATTCAAAATTGAAACCGACCATGCATAAATACAGCTTCCTTGCATGCTCACTCATTTGCAAATAAAAATTGGAATCGACAAAAATTTTAAATTCTTCAAGTAAACCACTTTTCATGGAAAGCTAACTCTGAGTCAGTAATTTTTTTATACTTCAGTAATCAGTAAGAAATGTTGTATGATATTTGAAATTTCTAAAATTTATGGCCTATTTCTTCAATTTGTGATGAGATCTTGACAAGAACCAAACACTGGCTCGGCAAAAAAGAAAATTTAAAGATGTTACACCTCTCACAAAACAACTGATGGTTATGCTTTATGCTCGTAGGTGAATGTTGTACAAAAATGCACATATAAAAAAGCAACAACAAAGTATATCCTGATCAGTTTGTGTACTTATAATTAGATTACATTAATTTCATATAAAATGCAAATATTAGGTATGAGTTCTTTTTATATCATTTATTTTTTCTCCTCAATATGAGTTATCTTTTTTTATGATGTATTTACATCATGAAATTGAGTAAATTAAGACTATATTAATATATAATAATTCTAAGCACATCTTTTTCCATTTCAAATTTACCACCAATAAGACACAGTTTTCAATAGCTGTTAAATCTGTTGCATTTTTATTACAATTTTATAATAAATCACCCTTCTTCAGATTTTTTTTTCATAGTTGAAAAAAATCCTACAGAGAAGGACATATAATAAATGAAATTATACAAAATAAATTCGAAAAACAATAAACGGTGCGATGTAACACAGTTGATTCTGTGAACAACTTCAGAAAATCATGATAGAAATGAGACAAATTTTGTAACTACTGTTTCCTAATTTTTTTCGATAATAAGCTGGAAAACCATCCAATGCTCTTCACAGGGAAACACAAGTATTCTGTAAAGGTAGTTTACTTTCGATTATTTTGTCAATATCTTTGAATGATACTTGCTGTGATCCACGTTTTGCCGGTTTTGGCATTAAAGGACCAGGGCGCCAACCAATAAATGACACAATTTGAAAACTTGCGGGACAACAAACATCATTTCGCGCAAACATTGATCTGAAATTCAACAAATTATCAAAGAATACAAGTATTTTGAAAGTGAACCACAAGCTAACGAAAATTTCTAAATTAATGTCACGTTTTTACTTATAAATGGCATCAGCAGCTATTAATATGTCTCTCCTTATATGCGTCGCTCGATTTCGTAAAGCATTTGACTCCCCCATTCCTTGTAAATCATAGAGCACAGAAAAGATATTTGGATAACCAACCTAAAAATATTAATTTTTATAACTTTGTGAGAAAAAATAACAAAATAAATGAACAGAAATATTGATCTAATTTAAAGCGATAAAAATTTTTTTTTTTAATTTATAAATAACATAATTTTTTAGCCTTGAATTTTACCACATTCAAGAAAATACAAGTAACCATTTGACAACTGTGACGCCTAAGCATTACCACAATTTCGTCGGTATCCAATGTGATCATGCCAAAACCAACACGACTCATCAGTGATCCGACATCATCAGGACGAACAAATGGTGAAATGTGTAAGCCAATACCACCTAATCTTTCCATTTCGGCTAATTGTAAAGCTATTCGAAGTTCATGCAATGTTTCATTTGCTAGCATAGCACCAATCAATGGACAATCTGGACGCAATATTGATAAACATCGTGAAAACCTCAAAAAATACAAAATGAAATCAATGAACATCGTGAAAACTTGATAATCCAGTTTGCCCCCATTTATCAGCATGCAAAAACTGTCACCAAATGAATAGCAATAGCTATAAAATTTGCAATATTACTCACGTACGCTTTTTGCTATCATTTTTTAAATGCATAAAAATGTCAAAAAAATTAATAACGGTAAAATATCGTACCATGGTACTTATTCACTTACTAATTTTTGCATACATGAAGAAGATGAACTCAAAGAAAAAGTAATGCAAACCATTTTGGAAGATCATTAACCCAGTGAGCACTTAGACTCGTAACTATCAAATCCGCTGATTCATTACGGAATGGCGCCATCGATTCATCAGCAATAACATTTAAAACGGGTATTTCTGGATCAGCTGCAGTGTTACTCCGCCTTACCAAGCCTTCACTCATGTCACATTGAATGATAATACCAACATTTTCCTATACTTTCATGACATGCTTCAGTCCACTACCATTCATAACTTTTGCTTATCCAATGTATTAGTTTTTTTTTCGATTAATCAACTCTCTACCACTTGGAATTTATGAGTGCCGGATATCAGATTTTTATACACGTTTCATAGCAGAGTCAATGTTGACGCAAATTACATGGACTACATATTTAAGTTAATATCAAAATGAAATGTTTGCTCCCTAAATTTTTCTTTGGCAAACTTGTGAAACAGCTATTAAATCCACTTCATCTTCTTCAGTTTACTACTAAACTTATTCTAAATTTACACTAGTGCATTACTTTATCTTGACACTGAGACTTAATTTGACGACGTCAAAAACAGTTTGAAATGGTTCTACCAAAAACAATAATCATTTTTCACATTGTTTTTTAGTTCATTAACTAATTAATAAACTCATCTAAATGTAACTTAACGAAATTGATTTTGAAATACAATGCCTCAGGTTCCAAGTCACATTAGTTTCAGTGAAAAGAACGCTTCAAAAACGACCTATGGAATAAAAACTAACCTTAATCAAATTCACTGCAAGATGGCCACTACCACATCCAATGTCAATACATACATCATTGAATTTAGTTAGATCGAACACTTTATCCGCAACACGATAAGCTATTTCATTCTGTAAACTCGTTGCAATAAATTCATATTCCATAGAAAAAACTGCACAATCACACCTACCAGACTACAGAATAGACGAGATGCATCCAAATTCTTTGGCCGGCAAATTATTTTATATTCGACGTCAAATTTTTGCTGTCAATTTCTTATACTGACTTCAAAAATGGCTCCATTCCTAAAAATTTTGGCCTCCTATTTTACTATCTCAAATCATTAAAATATAATTCTAGGTAAAAGTAATATACGCTAAAAGTAACATTAAAGCCAGCATACTTTATTTTACAGGTAACTAAATTAAAGAGGTAAAAATGCTTCCGATTAACCACGTGACCCGTTTCTTAACCGGATGTTCTCCCTTTAAAATCTACGATATGGATCAACGAACAAATCAATACTATTTAGTCACGTTCCTGCGCTCAATATCACTTAATTAAAAATAAAAAAAACTTGAAAAACTAGTGAAGTGAAGTTAAAATACTATTTAAACGGCTTTATAACCTAAACAAATTTACTACACATAACAAACAATGATGAGATGTTCTTGACGAACACAAATAACTAAAACCAAAAACTAACTTTAACATACTGATAAACATCGTAGTCCGGCAATCGAGAAGCTCTATTACGCTGCATTTTCTTTGTTTCACGGTCAAAAATAACATCTGCTTCTGCAACAGTGCACAATAACCTCTCATTACATGAATTCCATTTGAAAAGCGATCTACTGGAGCATTTTCTTGAATTCACCAATAAATTACGCAGAAAATGGTGAGACATTCCACTGAAAGTAAAATGAGGCCTTTCTTTTTAACAATCCTCTTCAACTTTGTGTCAGAAATGTGAAAGACTAGTAAAGAATTCGAGATTACGATAAAGTGAAAAATCTTTCGAGATTACGATAGTGAAAAATAAAAGAGGCATTAAAAGTTGTTTAAAAAATTTTATAATCAAACTATATAGAACAATTACAGAAAAAGCCATGAGATAACAAAAGAATAAAACGAATACATCATTTCACCAACGCTTTGTTCCGTAAACAAACATCGCTGGGAAAAATTAAAACACATAACTTAGAAACAAACCCATAAAACTTGATTACTGAAAAAAACAAAAAACAAACAGACATGATTTCCTGGAATAATACGCATAAGTTTGAACTGTTTGAAAAGTAAATTGCACATGACTGGTAATTTACAGATCACTTGCACGACAAAATCGAGTTATGGGAAAAAAGAAACACAAAACAATGATTATACAATAAATCCTCCTGAACCCATATCCAATAAAAACGCATGCAAAAAATAAACTACTAGAAATGACCGGAAAGTAACTATTATACAGTATATCCTTCTGAACCGTGTTTTATTTTTGCTAAAAAAGCCACTTACAAATCTTTTCAAAACCTTAGCACTGAAAAATCTCAATCCGATATTATCATATATAAATCCTTTCAATGCTTGACTCAGTAACTGTTTAATTATCACAATTTTTTTTCATGCTCTGTATATTATATTACAATACTTTTGCTATCAATATGAACTGATCTTCCAAGTATTTTTGATGCGTCAAACTTCAAAGTTGGAGTGAAATTACTATGAACAGGCATACATGGAGTAGCCACAAGAATAGTAAGTTCACAATTTTTTGCGCTTTAAACTACGATAAACATAGTGGTCAGATATCAAAAAGCAGAGTACAGCAGCATGAAAGAAATGAAGCATCACTGAGCTGAAAACTGTCGATGGGTAAGTATTCCAGCACATCTCGATTCCAATAAGAATTCCACAACTACAATTATGATTAGTCAGTAGTAAGTTTTTTATAATCTAAACTATGACCAATTAAGGAAATATAATTATAACTTCAGTGCTTTATCTCTCCGGACCACAAAGTACAAGGCGAATACATCTGATATCGTATATCAGTGAAGGTCTTACGAAATACAAATTTTTCGGATATGCAACAAAAATATAACTATTTTTACTTCAATATCCTTGCAGTGGCCTGCAAAATAACGGACTACAAAAAGTTTCTACTTTGGATGTCGCATTGTTCACAACAGATTTGAAAAAACTTTGATTACATTATCTTAATGGCAAACAAAAAAAAAAACGCACCGCGATATAATGGTGAAAGCTGATGCAGTTTTGATGGAGCTGAAAAAACGATTTATATTAGAGCAAAAGTGAAAGACAAAAATTTTAAACTCACAAGTATGTTTTACTTGTGAGTTTAAAAATGTTATAAGTAATGAGTACACCCTCACTTTTTCTTGCGAGAAACTGTTCCATATATATTCAGATCATGATGAAAATGCAAGCCAGAAAATACCAAATAAGGCAGAGTATAGAAATACCAACTATAAAATTGATAATGTAATGATCGTGCAACGCATACACCGATGAAATTCGCAATGAACAAAGCTGTCAACATTTCTGAAAATTTTTCATTCTTGAAAAATTTGCATAAGACATGTATTTTCAAGCCAGCTAGTGTATTATATGATACCATAATAACTTGTTTAACTTTGTGCACTATCAACTGCATACAAAAGCAAAAACTAGAAGAATGAAACATATTTTTTAAAAATACGATAAATGGATCTGATTTTTTTATGTTAAAAATAAAAAACTTTGGACATATTTTCATTACCAAATACTTGAGTTTCTCCATCTAAAATACACGTGCATTACTCAACATCTCTGCAATAATCATAAACTTTCTTTGCAAAGTTTATGATCTAACCATCGCTTAATCAAATTCTTCTAAACTCAATCTATACTTTGATCAAACAATTAACAGCAAAAGATAAAAAAGATTACCATTCTTGCTTATTAGCATCGATTTCTGATAGCTAATAACCTTTAGCATGTAGGCAAATCCTCCATACCGTCTAAAATAATCTTGTAGATTTGTGTCAACATCTGATACTTATTCGGTATTAAATATTAGAAAATTGTCAGAAACATCGAGGTAACTCAATATATTCCTGTTATTCTTTAACCAGTTTACGAAGTAATTGTAAAAATTCACGGAAGACAAAAAGATACCTAAACCATGTGAATCCAGCAATAAGCAGTAAAATAATATGAGCCGCAAACAAAGCAATATGAAAATAATGGCTGATGAACATTTCTTCCGATAAAAATCGCCAGTTCACAGTCCACTTGTAAAGAAAAACTCGATTCAATTCAAATGACTTTCGAAAATACGAGAATGGGTCGTACATTAAAAACGGAAGAGCCAAGAAGACCTAGAATGTTGTAAAAATACTGAAATTTTAAAACTATAATTATAAAAGTTTAAAACTATAAATAAATAAATAAATAAATAAATAAATAAATAAATATATATATA